ACTCCTGTAGCAGGAAAAAGGTCCCAAGAGGTTTACTATGTAGTGGCTATATAGTTGAATAGCATCAATAACTTTTCTGGGAGAAATGTAGGCTTCCAGATACTTATGCATGTAGGGTTAATTTGTAGGAGTTTATGCATGTATTCGAAGCAGTCCTGGCTTGTCACTCACAAAGGTGAACCCCTTCAGCTCACAAGTTAGTTGTGATTCTGGTTAGTCATGCTGTTCAAAAACAAACATTAGTATCAGTAGGGAATTCTGAAACAGCACATAAAAAAAAAAATCCCCAAAACAAAACTGCCTGTTCTAGGCAGAAATGTGATGGCTGATCTTCCCAGATCACTCTTTGTCGAATAATTGTCTTGAGCTTACTGTAACCTTCTGGATACAGCAGAGGCATGTGAAAGTCTGGGAAAAGAATGTATACTTACAGGAATTCCCTTTGTAGTGCACTGACTTGTCCTAAGACATATCCTTAACCCTCCTTCTGAATCCTGTTGTTTCTTCCAATCTGGCAAGCTGCTTTAAAGCTTTCCTCACGAACAGAGAGGCTATTTTGTCCTAATGTCTAGATTACACAGGGGTATTCTGTATTGTAGAGCATTCTATGCATAATTTCAGCAAGACTCAGAATTATTTCAAATTAATACAAATAACATTTCTGTCCTATTGACTTCAAATGACAGTAAGATAATTTAAGAATCAAATGCATTTGTTCATATGCTTTCTTCACTAAACCTTTGAACATTTTTCCAAATCACTCACTTGTTTGTAAATATATTATTGTTTTTCAATGTTTGCACCTTGTTTTCAAATAAAGTAATTTTTTATAAACCCTATATATTAATTTAGATGAGTACAGTAGGAGTTTTACATGGTTCAAAACTCCAGAAATTACATTGAGTATTAGAGAGGTTGGTTCAGCTACCATTCATGGTGTGTTAGATAAGTTGAATGGTGGCATGGCACTCTCAGTTTCCTTTGAAAGAACAGTCAGTTGCTCTTGTCACTTTCACATGACTATCACTCCATCGAAATTGGCATTTTTCACTTTAAGAATGAAACAACTCTTTATAATTTAACATAGCTTGAAGCAAAAGTGGAAAGCAGAATGTAAAGAGCAGCCCTCAGTGTCTTTTGGAGGAAACTTTCCTCAAATTTTGGAACATTGATGTACTAATTAAAACAAGTAATGTTTTAATGCTGTCATTAATCTGTTTTGTGTCTTAAAAAACAGAAATGATAGAAGTGTCCAATGATCTATTGCCTTTGTCTGTTACAGTGTTAGCCACCTGTGTTGGGGTGTACATTCCTAGAATGGCAACAGTAGGAGAAACTTGATCTGAAATTCTAGTTGCTAAATAGCTTCAGAAATTATGCAGCTCCTTCAGTGTTAGATTTTGTTGTTCAGAAATGTTGTCTTTCCAAATCTGTTCTGTTCAAATCAGAAGAAATGTAAAAGATACCATCCACAGAGACCAATGCAGCTGTTAATTTTTTAGAACATAGCGTTCAAGTGAAATCCTTCCATTTTTCAATCAGAAATCCTTCCATTTTTATTGATAATTTCCTACACTGGGGATAGCAAGCTATTGTTGCTTGAACAGAGCTTCAGTTTTCCCAGTGTTTTGGCTTATTTATCCTACAGTTTCATATTCCGTATAAAGTCTTTACATCCAAAAAGTTTTTTAAAATTTGTATTGCTTTCTGCTACCAGCAATGGGACTCAAAGGGGATACTAAGCCAGCTGAAGCCCCATTCTTGTAATTCAAGAGTGCATAACATATGATACCCTTCCAATCATATTTTATGGGTGAAGCAATACAGTTTTACCATCTTCTCTTACTCAGATGTCATTTATCTGTTCACTACATTCATTAAAGTCTGTTGCTGGTGTAGTTGCCTGTCTGGCACTTTGGGTAGGATTCATCTTACTGTCCTTGATGTCTAATATGAATGCATTTAGTTTTGAGCTAGTTGCCTGTCTTCTTTTTTTCAGTCAACAGGCCTTTTTACAGTTGTGATTCACATCTTCCAAAGGCAACTAAAATAGGTTAGATGAAACTCCTCCTTGTTCATTAAATGGCATTGCCTGCCTGGGCATGTTTATACATAAATTTTAACTTAATTCTAAAGGCTCTGTGAAATCTACAGAATAATAAGAATCTATGGAATACTAAGAGTGGAGGAGTTAGAGTAAAAAAAGAAATTAAATTGTTATAAGGAAGCAGTAAAGGATGTATTTTGCCTACTTTGTAGTACTTACTTCCAAAATTGATACAATATTGCATGTGAAAGATATCTGTTCTTAGAGATCCACAATACATTTTTTTTTTTTTCTTCTGTATCGGTTACCATTTAGAAATGCTAATAAGTGAATGTATTGCTTGTGCTACCAGTAGCCACATCATTCAAATGCACTTTAATGGGGCTTATCTCATGGTAGCACACACTTTATTGTTTATAGTTTTCATTCTAGAAGGTGTCAGTGTTCAAGATGAAAATAGGAATGGAAGTTTTGCTTCATTTCTGTTAATGCATTGTGATTGCCATTCTTTGACAATAGTGTTATTTGAATGACCACTGTTAGTCCATCTGTACTGAAAAATGTTGTTGCTAAAATAAATTGTGATTTTAGCATTTGTTAATTAACCCTAATGCAGCCAATCTTCTTTGTGTTTAAAAATCCAAATGAAGGAAATAGAAGTTTTACCATTGAGTTCAACAAGCTTTGGATGACACTTTCTATACATTTTATTGGGGTGTTTTTCCTGAAGTGGGTAATATTTGAGTGTCACAATTTTTAAACTTTTTTTTTTTTTTCCAGGCCAAATCAAGCTACTCAACCTTGTTTCAAAAAAAAAAAAAAAAATCATAATAATGATGACTGCTTTATTTAATTATTTGTGATAGCGAGACATTTTTCATTGCTTCTCATTTTTTCCCAAATTAATTAGGAAATCAAAATGGCCATTACTGAATGACAGCAGATGTCTCTGATCACTGGAGACCATTTAGTGTGATGTACTGAGTGGAATTCTTGTTTTATTTTCATTTTGTTTTATATACAGGATGAATTTGAAAATCTAATTTCATCAAGGAAAACTGTGTAGGTAAAAAAATGTATTTATGTGTGTCATTGCACATGTATTTGTGCAATCCCGTTTATTGTTATTATCATAGAATCATAAAATCATAGATCGATACAGGTTGCAAGGGAACTCTGGAGGTCACGTGGCTGAATACCCACACATAATGTCCTAATTTGTCTATATACTCTACTTTTGTCATCATTGCCACCTTTCCAAGGGGTATTATAATTACTTAGCAAGTACGTTCTCCAAACAATCTCAGAAGCCAATAGGAAACTGCCTCTTTGTTTTCTGGCACTAAGTCCACCTGCTGCAGCAAGCAAATGGCTTGTCAGATGGATCTGCATGATTTTCCCTCAACCCACCAACTTTAAAATGTCAGCCTTTTTAACAGATTTTCCTCAGCTCTGTTGGGAAATTTCAACTCCCACGAGGTTTCAAAATTTACATAAACAATTTCTCCTACTCTTACATTTCTTTTTTGCTCCTAGTTTACAAACAAGACCAACAGGTATCGCTTATTTAACTGCTTATGTTCCTTTATTCATGACCCAGTCATTTGAGCCGGTGAGAAATGAAGACAGTCAACCTTTTTAACAAGGCAGTTTTAGAATGCTATAACATTAAAAGACAAGTAGAAATTGTAGCAATAAGGCAAGGTAACTACTCCTTATCCATAAAAAGAACATAGCAACAGAAATGATGATCTGAAAATCATTAAGGAAGGGTCTGTATTTCAAAGTTCTTACCTCATCCTCTTTGACACAATAATTGGACATCAGCTGATGAATTAATTCTTAGTGGACAGATGAACAAATAAAAATTAACGTGCAAATCGGATCATGCTTGGATGTTTAAATAAAAAGAATAAAGATAAAATGGTTGTGAAGACAGAATTATCTTTATATGCTCTGAAATCCCTAAAGGACAAGGTTAAAGCTCATTTGCAGGCTGATGTGAAGAAGTATATTCTTATACTTTGGTCAGTTTCCAGGACCAATAATTTTAGATTCCTAATCAGTATTAAATTCACTGGAGCAAGTTACAAAGAGCGGCTTCACTTATTCATATAGAAACCCTCTTTAAAGAACTCAATCGAAATAGGTTTGAATGTAATTTATGTGCACTGCAAGGCTCTCCACAGCGCCAAGGTAGTGTGAGGAGCCCTTTGTGAAGACGAAACGTGAGCCTGTGGTGCCTTAGAATTACAGAGCATATCCATGTGGATTCCTCTTTTAAATACGTGCATATGTGTGTGTTTATTACTTTGCACCTTTTGAGTTTAGTTGACGTCTGTTCTTATACGGTGAGAAATTAGGGATTAATTATTAGGTTTGATAATGAAACCATGTGGTCTCCAGAGGAATGCCATACATTAACATCCTTTCTTTTTCTTAGAATGTCACTCTAACACTCACACAGAGATTTTTGCCATGCTGCCTCTATAGGTTGCTAGGCAGCAAAGCTTTGCCCCCAAACTGTTAGCTCTATTCTGCGTGCTGAGACTCTTTCAGATATCCTCAGCGGTTTGAATCTCCTTGCTGAGTGGTTTCCTTGGTTGAGAGCAACTGCTTCCAAAGGTCACTGGCTCTCTGTGGATCAACCCTTTTCTTGGATGTGCACAAATCTTCTCGTTTCATACTTCAAGAAACTCTACAGCAATTGAAACATGGTCCAGATTGCAACAAGCCTTGTGTAATTGTCCCCTACTGTTGCTGCATGGTGACAATTGCTGTGTATAATAATGTTTATATGGAAAGTGATCTTAAAAAGGCATAAGGACAAGAATATTCATATGCGCCAAGGCTAATTAAAAAGCCACTTTAAGACATTAAAGCTGGTCTTTTTTTTCTTTTTCTTTGTCTTTTTTTTTTTTTTTTTTTTTTTTTTTTTTTTTTTTTTTTTTAGGGCAGGTTCTAGATGTGCTGGAGAAATATAATCTGAATGATAAAACTCTTGTATACTTTACGTCTGACCAAGGGGCTCATGTTGAAGAAATCTCCAGTTCTGGTGAAGTCCATGGAGGATACAACGGCATATATAAAGGTGAACATTCTCTGATGATTCTTAAAAACTGTGTCAGAAACTATAATCTCATTGGTTTTACTACAAAACTGTAATATTCTGACACTGGCTGACACTGACACAGGGCTGTGTCCAATCAAGTTATGAAAATCTCCAATGGTGGAGACTCCACAGCATCTCTGGGCAACTTGCTCCAGTGTTTGATCACAGTGACCATAAAAAAAGCTTTTCTTACGTTTAAATGGAATTTTCTGTGTTTCAGTTAGTGCCCATTGCCTCTTGGCCTGTCAGTGGCCTGTCTGAAAAGAGCCTGGCTCCATTCTCGTTACTCAAGTAAATCCATGTATCCTTACAGATGGATAAGATTTCACTGAGCCGTCTCTTCTCCAGGCTGAGCAGTCCTAGCTCAAATGCTCCAACTGCTTAATTGTTTTCATGGCCCTCATTTGAACTCACTCCAGTATGTCCATGTCTCTCTTGTACTGGGGAGCTCGTCACTTGAATCCAGAACTCCAGGTGTGTTTCACCAGTGTCAAGTAGAGGGTAAGGATCACCTCCCTTGACTTACTGGAAACATTCTGCCTAATGCAGCCCAGGATGATGTTGGCTCACCTTGCCACAAGAGCACATTGCTGGCTCATGTTCAACTATTTGTTCACCAGGGCCCCCAGGTCCTTCCCTGCAAAGCTGCTTTCTAGCCAGTCAGCCCCCAGCCTTTGCTGATGCTAGAGGTTATTTCTCTGCAATTGCAGGACTTACTATTTCCCTTTGCTGAACTTAATGAAGTTACTTTTGGCCCATTTCTCCAGCCTGTCAAGTTCTCTCTGAATGGTAGCACAGCCATCAGTGGATCAGCCACTCCTCCCAGTTTTATATCATCTACAAAACTGCAAAAAGGAAGAAAGACTGGGGTATACAGTAAGCAGTAACAATACAGGGAGGTTTTCAAGTGAGAAGACTCCACAGTTTTCAGTCAGTAGGTATCTGTCTAAGAAATGACCCTTATATTTTAAGAGAGCTGTGAAGGAAATGCTGCACAAAGAAAACAAGCAATACCAATGTCATGAGGTTTCAAACTATCATCAGATGGGTCCCCTTGGGCTAACACCAGAGTGAACTGTATCTTGAATGTTAGCAGATAGACCTTACATAGTGATTTAAGTAATTAAGGAACCATATGGTTACATTTCTGCAGCTGTAGGCATAGCCTGAGGTGTTTTAGAAGCTCTAAAAAATATTTGCCTTCTAGAATGCCAGAGATAAAATACAGGATAAATGACAAGGAGGCAAAAAAAGACGAATTCACTGGGGAATATGCCTTCCTGAGGAACTTTGATTGAATGGAGTCTTTTTCTATCAAGTCTTGCAAAATATTGTATTCATGCTTACAGAATGGAGAACAATTTGAAATAGATCTTACCTGAATTAAGAAAAAAATCTGATTGATAGGGTTACTTGGGGAGTGATGGGTTTTCTTATTTTTAAAATTAATTGTGTGGTTTACAGTTTCCAGCTATGATATGCTAGCAAATGTTTTAATATACTATGGGATAGAAAATAATCACTATATAAGAAACAAAATAATTATTGTATAAGGGACATTCTTAATAAAATAAAAAGAAATTAAAAGACCCATGCAATCAATTGAATATACTTTTACCATTTTAAAATACAATGAATTCTGCTTTATCTTCTTTTTTTTCCATATCAGTCCTCAATTTAACAGGTATATTATGCATAATTTTCAAAAGTGGAAGTGATCAATTAATTGCATAATTAGAATTTTCATACATAAGAATTTATGCATATTAACAGTCATGTACAATGAAAAGTGTTAGAATCCTGTACATCTCTGGGAGATTTAGTGAAAATCAGACCTGTGAAGCCCTAAGTCTCAGGCACTGATATAGCAATGTGCCTAAAAAGCAAAAGGACAATCTTTATGCTGCTTGTGCTCGTGTGTGCACGCACTAGGAATTTGCTTCATCTGATGAGTAGATTACAAAACTAGGAGACATGCACGTCCTTTCTCCCTGTCTCTGCTAGACAGTCTCCACTACTTACCTTTTTGTATATGAGCGCTCCTTGAATGCGAATATGAATCAAGCCACTTAACCCTCTTGTCAGAGCTGGAGCAGTATGCTCAGCAATAATTGATTCTGCCCTAAAATCAAAAGCTCTCAACAGATCTCCACAATTCGAACTCACTAATTTGTCTTGATATCCAGCAAAATGAGCACCAATAATAAAATCTAAAAGGAGTTTGGAGAGTTAGGCTAGCACTGCAAGAGTGAATGCAAAAAGGGGAAATCGCTATTTGAAGGTTTTATTACTCTGGATTCTGACTGTGAAACAGTCACCATAAATTTGGATAGCCTTTGAAATTTGAAATCAGAGTTAACATAGTGTTTAACTAGTTGCTGTCATACACAGTCTGATTTATCTCTTCAGTATCCTTTTTTAGAAGACATTGTATAGTAATATTGAAGTGATGGATCAAAATCATAGCCTTTTGTTCCAGTGGCCTTTTTCTGTCGGTTATCAGGATCAGAATCCTTGGAAGAAGCTGTGTAGTAAATATAGAAGATCTCTAAGAAGATGTCCTCCTAATCCTCGATAGCATGACAGCAGTGAATCCTGACAGTTTAGATTCTATGAAGAGTTTTACCATTAGTTATATAAATTTTCATCATATAAAGATGAAATTCCACTTTGAGTCTTTCTAATTTCTCAGCACAGCCTAAATCATTTGAAAATGAAAACATGGTGCTTTCATTTACTATTTTGAAATGGGCCAGTTGCAGATTTCATGGAGCGTCTTGAAGTTTAATACTGTTTCCTCATAGATACAAGATAAAAGAGAGAAAACTTATTATATCTTCCCTAGCTTACCTTTGTTTTGTATACTTTTATTGTGCCTCT